AAATTGATAAAAACCTTTGGATAAAACCCTAATACATATCAAATTTTAATCATTTAAAAACTTTTAAACTCATGTTATCAAAGTTTGAGACAGTGGAAATATGTGAACCTTGGATTTATGTTGGGCCTAATAAATCGAACAAAGGGGTACAATTTCTACTTGTAATTCTCAACTGTTGTCGCCATAGAAAGGCACATCGGTACTAAATTCTTTGAAAGGCTTAGAATCAAAATCAAAATCAGACGATGGTTATGGAGCTTTCCATTGATTTGGTGGAGGAGATACTCTCATGGGTTCCATCTAGATCTCTTGCAAGATTGAAATACACTTGCAAGCAGTGGAAAACCCTAATCTCAGAGCCAAGATTCTCCAATAAGCACTTGTCTCGCATGCGTAGCCGTGACCAACAATTTACAGTCTTCAACAACGTTCCCAGTTCCGATCTGTCGGGTTCCACAGTTCCTTGTTTAGGTATCGATTTCGACGAACTCCACAATCCTGCTCTGAATTTGCAGGTTTTTAAACCTGTTACATACCCACTTTTAGTGGTGCGGAACATGTATCATTGTGATGGTCTATTGCTATTCGTCACGAGTACCAAGCTTTTAATCTTGAATCCTTTATTGAAACAAGCGAGATGGATCAATCGTTGCTGTAAATTTGACATTCATATGCATGTGTATGGTCTTGGATACATTAGTAACCAATCTTCATCATCAAGTTGTAATGATTACAAAATGGTTCGGTTTCCTTGTGGTGCTTCTGATGGTGGCAAATATAAAGGTACAGGGATTGAAGTATACGAATTCAAATCTGATTCTTGGAAGGTTATTGTTGATCAAAGCTTTGTTGGGTTCTTAGAATTACCAGAGTCGAATGTGTGTTTGAGAGGAACTCCTTATTGGATAGGTTATCTAAATGGTCAAACTAATCCTACCATACAGAGTTTTGATTTCTCGAAAGAGAGATTTGAGAACTTGTTTCTTCCTCCTTCGTCGAATGGGTCATCAAGCTGGGAAAATTCGTTTTCTTTAGGGGTTTTCAGTGGAGATAAACTTTCTTTGGTACATAAATCTGGATTAACCGGTAAGATACAATTATGGGTGATGAAGAAGTATTGGAGCAAGCTGATGAGTGTTGCTATACCTGAATTTGACTTGTTTCATAGGTATTCAAGTTTCTTCATTGAGGACAATGGTAAACTTGTGCTATCGATTCGCGACATAAAGTCTATTAACATTTACATTGTGGGAAAGGATGGTGAGTGCCAAAGTGTTGAATATCCTTCTATGGATCATTCAATTGGTGGTTCTGCTTGCTACTATGTTCCGAGCTTGCTTCAGGTTCCAGGTCTTTTTCGAGGCGAAAAGAACAAGGTCAGGTTTTTTTGAAAGGAAATTTTTGTTTTACAATGGATTCCAAAAATTAGTATGGATACCACTTTTATCCTTTGTTGAGTTGTTTATATAGATTCCAGGCTTTTCGAGGTTCCATTATTAAGTTGAGAAAGTATTTTCTTTTAAGGGTTTTTCATTTTATGTTTTTTCATTCCACAAAGAGTTTCGATCTCTCAAAAGAGAGATGTGAGCCCTTGTCTCTTCCTCATTCATCCATGAAGTTTGGAGATTCTTTTTCTTTAGGGAATTTCAGTGGAGATCATCTTTCTCTTTTACATAAATCCCGTGGGTGATGAAGAAGCATTGGAACAGGCTGGTGACAGTTACTATACCCGGACTTTCGATGTTTTGTATATATTCAAGTTGCTTGATTGAAAACAATAGTAAGCCATGTGCTTTCTGGTAGTAACTGGGAAACCGAGTCTGCGAGCATCTACATTGCTGGAGAGAATCAAGAGTGCAGAAAACTTGAACATCACTCTTCTTTGGATCATATAAGAGGTGATTGCATCTATGTTCCGAGCTTGCTTCAGGTTCCAGGATTTTCAAAGTGAGAAGAAAAAAGAAGAATAAGCACAATGTTGTAAGACTTCACTATTTCTGTTCTTTGCGTATTTGATTCATCAAGATAGTTTCTTGGAGTGGTTTCATGAAATTTATTTACAATACATGTTCAAGAATTCTTAGTGAGAATCCTAGCTACTAGACATAGTAACCCCATCAAGCAATGCCTTTGCTTTTGCAGATTATTTCTTGAGTTTACACAAACATTATTAAATCATAATGTTGTATGTAGCAAACACCTAATTATAATGTAAAATTATTTCAATATTCTCAACACTATCCTCACATCATCATACTTCTCCAAACCAGCAATCATATTAAAAACAAAATCAGAGATCATTGACCAAAATAAATTCTAAATAAGAAAACAAAAACACTAGAAATATATTATGTCTATCAGTGGATTCTTATTAGGCCTAACTCGGGGCTTATTCATTCCAATTTCAAATTGGTTTAGTCATACACAACTTCTTCTATATAAAGAGGTAAAATAGGGTTAAAGAACAATAAAACAAAAAATCAGACAATGGCGATGGAGTTTTCCTCTGATTTGGTAGAGGAGATACTCTCATGGGTTCCAGCTAAATCTCTTACACTACTGAGATACACTTGCAAGCAATGGAAAACCCTAATCGCAAACCCTAGATTCGTCAAGAAGCACTCCTCTCACATGCGTTGCCGTGAGAAGCACGTCACAATCTTCAACATGGTTTCCAAGTTCGATGTTGTTCCATTGAGTTCCACGATTTCCTGTGTTGGTATGGATTTCGATGAATTCAGCAATCCTTGTATGAATCTGCAGGTTTTTAAACCTATTCAATCTTTGGTGTACAATATGCTTCATTGTGATGGTCTATTGGGATTCGTCATGACTTTCAAACTTTTAGTTACGAATCCGTTGTTGAAACAAGGTAGATGGGTCACATACAGCTATGGATTTGACCATAAAATAGATACGTTTGGTCTTGGATACATTAGTAACCGATCATCATCAAGTTGTAATGATTACAAAATTGTTAGGTTTCGTTGTCCTCCTAATAGCATAGTTGATGCTTCGAAGGTTGAAGTATACGAATTCAAATCTGATTCTTGGAAGGCTGTTGTTGATAAAACCTTTGATGGGTTCTTTGGATTACCATCGTCAAGTGTGTGTCTGAGAGGAACTCCTTATTGGTTAGGTTACAATAAATATGATAAAAAAACCTTTTTGATACGGAGTTTTGATTTCTCAAAAGAGAGATTTGAGCCCTTTTCTCTTCCTCCTTTATCATTTGAGGAGACAGATTCTCTTTCTTTAGGGATTTTCAGAGGAGATCAACTTTCTTTGTTACATAAATCTCACGCAACAGATAAGATACAAATATGGGTGATGAAGCAACATTGGAGCAGGCTGATGACAGTTTCTATACCTCAATTTCCAGTGTTACATAAGTATTCAACTTACTTCTTTGCAAACAATGGTAAGCTTGTGCTAACTGTTTGTCACTTGGGGACCGAATCTGTTAGCATCTACATTGTTGGAGAGAATCAAGAGTGCCAAGAACTTAAATATGACCTTTGTATGGATAGTATAAGAAGTGATTGCTTCTATGTTCCAAGCTTGCTTCCGGTTCCAGTCTTTTCAAGACGT